AGGTCCCCCTCCTGGCCAGCCTCGCTCTCCTCACATCTGAGATCAAGTGTATCTGGCATTTTTTTTTAAGACATCTGGTAACCCTAGTTGTCAGTGACTACTCTGTGATTAAGAACTGCAGGTCCCCCTCCTGGCCAGCCTCGCTCTCCTCACATCTGAGATCAAGTGTATCTGGCATTTTTTTTTAAGACATCTGGTAACCCTAGTTGTCAGTGACTACTCTGTGATTAAGAACTGCCATCCCTCCTCAGTTTCCTTCTATGATGTTGGGTGCTTCTCTCCTTTTTTTTCTTTCTTTCTGCTGTAAGGATGTGCAGCCACTTTTAAGGGAGATGCAAATCAAGCCTCCTGTCATTGGGCCATAGCCCCTCTAGAGCCAGGCATTCTGAAGGATGTGCTCTCCAGAAGGAACAAGTTGCAGACTTGCTGGGAAAGAGGGAAGCAGGATAAAACACAGGACCTGTTCCTCACTAAAAGGAGACCCTGGGGATAAAACAAAACCTGCTGTATGGTTAAGTGACCTAGGGAAGGAGCTTGGGAAAGGCAAGCTGAAGAGAATGGGCCTCATATTGATTTCAGACTTACCTCAGCAAGTGTGATTTAGGCCTGTGTTTGTAGCAGGAGAAGAATGTGGCCTGGCATCAGAGAAAAAGTGTGGGCCTGTAGCCTGGTGTGTGTGTAACCCACACACCTATGGGATGTGGTTCACTGTCCCATGTAGTGGCACTTAGACCACTTTCAGCAAGAGTTAAGAATGAGTGAGCTCTACAGCCTAAGCTGACCACCAGCTGGCTTTATAGCTCAAACTGTAGAGCTCCAGTGGTCTTAGGTTCAAATCTGTGTAAAGGTGTTGGGGTTGACAGCTTCATCAGCTCCCTGTGCAAGTGGGGGGGCTGCCCTGTACTGTTCAGACTCCTTTTGAGAGGTGGGGCTTCCACAGTGGGTGAGAGGTAGTCCCACCTCTCACTCCCCTATGTTAACAGCTGGATCTGAATTATAATTATATTTGGCAAAAAAAAAAAAAAAAAAAAAAAGGAAATGGAGAGAAAAGAAACAAGGAGCACTAGCAATGGGCTGTACCAGATCATTTGAACCCCCTGCTGGAGATTTCATTGCCCAACCACACCAGAAAAGGGCAGTGGAGAGGGTTCTCCAAGCTACCTAAAATGGCTGTGTAGGATCCAATCAGAGCTCAGTAGCCTAGTATAAGAAGCACTGCAGGGCTCAAGGGAATTCAGTTCCTTGCTGGTGCTGTAGGAGTGAGACGGACAAACAGACAATGAATGAATGAAGCTACAGACCCCCTGGACTGGGCAGTGTTGCTAGATGCTGGGGAGAGCAAGAACTACAGACCCCTGGACTGGGCAGTGTTGCTAGATGCTGGGGAGAGCAAGAAGAAACTCTGAGCTGGTTGTTGGGACAAGGCCCTGAGGTAAGGGTGAGGGTGAGGCTGTGGGCAAGTGGCTCAGGGACTTAAAGAAGCTGTATGACATAATTAAAGGGATAAAGCAAACTGGAGGCTGTCTGCAAGGTTTGTAGGCTGGGCTCTGGAGTAGAGGGTGGGCCCAGGTTCCCCCCACACCCCATTAGCCATTAGGAGGAAGTGGTCTGGATATTGAGGCACTCCAGAGGGGGCACTGAAGTCTAGTAGCTGAGCTGGAGAGTTGCAGCCAGAAGGCCCAAGAAGGGAAGCTATTGTCACCAGGGAGGGAGGCCTAGGACAGCATTTTATCCCAGAGCAAGGACAAACAGAGAGGGTAGGCACATGAACTTGTCCAGAGGGATTCTCGTGATGGGTGTTTATGCCCTTTGTGTCTTGCTTGTGGCAGGCTATGGAAAGTCTTCTCCACCCAGGTTAGGATATTCAGTTAGGAAGGCTAAGGTTGGCAGTTGTTAGACTTTACATATTCAAAGTCTGTCCCTCAAGCCACCAGATCCATGACTTTTTTTTTCTTGATTTATTCTGTTTTTTTTAATCTCTAAATTGTGTGTCCCCCAGTCTTTAAAAAGGAAGAACTTCTTTATTCTCAGCAGTGTGTGACTCTGAAATGTATTAATATTTATTTAGAGGTTTGAGAACATTTGCATCCTTTGTTTCTCAGATGTCAGTATATACAACAGGTCATGTCTGCAATGATTTTTTTTTCTTTCTGGAATTTTTTGAGGATTTCAAAGATTTATTGTGATCATCCATTACTTTGTTCCAGAATGTCCCCTCCCTCCATCCTGACTAAAGCCAAGCTAATAAGCATTTTAATTAGTTTCTTATTCCTAAACACATGCCCTCATTTTTCTGACAGAAAGGAGGGCAAGCCTATTTCCTTAAAACATGGTGATGAGTTTTATACTGGGGCTTCTGTCCATGCTCAGTAAAACAGGCTATATATATAAATAAAAGCATACAGAATACTCTATCTCAGTGAGCTGTCACTGGGACTTACCATTGGTCTGTGTTTGCCAGATAGCATCAGCAAAGCCCCACAAAGCAGGGAATATGAAGAATACAGCAAGTTGGTTTGGGTGAGGTTTCCATAGCAGTAGTGGTATTATGCAGGCAAGGTTTGTAATCGAGGCTGTATGTTTAGGAGAGAGGAGGAGAAAATGTAATTACCAGTATAAACTGGAAATCCATTAGACATACAATGTTCCAGAGTCTACTGGAAACTGTCTTCAAACACTATTGAATAAAATAAGGTCAGTGAATCAGGAAGGCTCTGACATTTGTACTCATCAGTTTAAAGTTTCACTGCAGTACTCCCTTGGTCATCAATTAATACTGTACAATGGAAAGCTTTGATACAGGCCTGGTTTCATATAATCATCCCAGTGCATGCACTAAACAGAGGAATTCTGAGCTAATGTTGATGTTAACCCATAAATGAAGAACTATCAGTGGAAATAGCCAAGTCACTGAGTAGGCACAGAGAACCCCAGAAAACTTAGAATGCAGCAACCTTTCAGTTATATACCAGTAGACACATACATTACATTAGGATTCCATTTTCCATATGCTATCCTTTAAATATAGATTTTGGGGGTTTTAAGGCTGCAAGAGACTATTAGGCTTACCTAGGCTGCCCATTGTAGGGGCAGCTGGTATTTTGTCTTTCTGCATAGATTGAGAATGTTAGTGACATGGGTGATGGGTATAAAGAACAAGGGGAGGCTAAGCCACACCTGCTGCCACTACTATAGACTTGCTGATGGACACAAGGGCTGTGGTGACCCTACCTCTTCCACTTCCTGTTCAGCCCCTTCCCTGAGGCCCCTCTCTGCCCGATGAGTCTTCCTCTGTTCCACATACATGAACTCTGGAGGTCCCCATGACTCACCATGTCCCTCCTCAGACCCGTCTCATGGGGCTGGAGGCTGAGGAGGTTGGCAGAGGAGTCTTACAGTGAGTGGGGAGGGTGAGGAGGAAGGCCAAGTGGGTAGAGACTGGAGATGGAGTGAGAGTAGTAGGGCTGCAGGTGGATGAGGCGGGATGGGGACCTAGCCTCCCTCATGGAAAGTGTCACCCCCAGTGCCACCCATAGTTAGTGAGTCCCTGCATTTTGCTCTCACTCTCCAAGGTCCTTATTCACAGCTCTGCTTCACTGAAGTCAGGAGACAGAGGGGTGGACAGTGGCTTTGAATCAACCCTTTTAAAGACTATAATTTCTTTGTTGTCCTTAAGCTAAAATAAATCATGTAGAAGGATAAATAAAGAGCAAAAATATATATGGGGAAAGCTGAACACTTAGAACCTGCAGTTTATTTCTTTCTAGTTTTCATATCCCCTACTCATAACTCCAGTCAGCTGAAGAAATGGGCTGTGCCCACGAAAGCTCATGATACCATCTATATGTTTTGTTAGTCTATAAAGTGCTACCAGACCTTTTTTTTTTTTCTGTAACAGACTAACTCGGCTACCCCCTGAAGCTCTAAATTTAAAATTACCTTAGGAAAAATTTCTAGGGCAATGCACATGGAATCAAGCAATGTGGTTTCTATTAATAAAGGGAATTCAGGACAATTCAGTGTAATAAACTTTCTTCAAATGTCACTGGAATCTCATTTTCAGATACAAAGCTGCAAATGAAACACTTTCCTCTATTTTTTGGTCTTGGTAAAATATTTATTGGGACAGACTTTTTCGTAATGTCTACTGGAAAGCGCCCTTAAACAGATCTATCACATAAGTCTCTTCTTATAGTACCCTTACACACTTCTTGTCCATATGCAGCACTTTTACTCTTCCCCAGGACCCAAGCTAACATGGTAGCTCATTACTCACTGGGTTTTTAACTATAAGTAAGCAAGGTGTTTGGCCCTGACAGATCTATTAGTAAGTTCAGATTGTACTGAAGCAAATAACAGTATTGCAATTGACTTCATGTGGATCAGGATTTGGACCAGCAATGCGACAATCTAGCATTGGTTACATTAACTCTAAAGAACTAACTACTCAGCCTGAGAGTATATTGTATCACCAAAAGCAGGGTGAGCTCAGCTTGGCAGGAGTACAAAGATATGGAACAGAGTCAAGCTGTATATTCAAGTCATTCCATTAACTGTGACTTCTTTCATTCCCAGGCCTTCTCATAAAGGAAGTTGTCTCTTGGTATATCTTGTTCTAACTGGTAGCCTAGAGCGTAATGCCCCCTTCCCATGGTCTGGGAAGAGAACACAGGATTTTTCTTACCAAATGAGACAATTGATTCTCCAAGCACTTTTTACTTACCTAATGCAAATAGGGCTTTTCTGCCAGTAAACTGAGAAATCTTTCCGAAGAGCAGAGAGCAGAGTGAATTTGTAACTGAAAAGGAGATCATCACATAACCAACATAATGTATCCCCAGGGCACAAGTCACATAAGACTAAAGAGAAGAGAACAGACACATGGCATTACTATTCACAGACTACAGCTGGCCTTTGTGGATGAACTCTGCACCCCGGTCTACACTAGGAATTTATTTCAAAATAACACACACCACCAGGTTGAATTTATAAGAGGAGCATCCACACACATTGCAAAATAATGGGCTGCAGAATTCAAAATCTGTACTCCTGCTTTTCATCAGGAATTATGCTAATTCCAAAATAGTCATTTCAAAATAGCGGTAATGTGGACGCATCAATGCTGCTATTTCTAAATAGCTACTCCTGGTTACATCTACACAGCAGCATTATTTTGGAGTACCTGACATTAATCCAAAATACCATAGTGTATGTCTACACTATAAGCCTTTTTTTCAAAATAATGTCTAGCTGAAGGACTTCTGACTCTGACTCCTGTAACCCTCATTTCATGAGGATTAAGGGAAGTTGAAGGAAGAGTGCTCTTCTTTTGACTTCCTGGTGCGTAGACAGCATCAAAAGCCAAATTAAGCTATTTTGTCTTCAGCTATACATGGCTGAAGTTGCGTAACTTAATTCAACTTTCACCCGGCTGTGTAGACATACATAACCCACCAGAGTAATTTGAACGAATTACTCCCCAGTGCTGCTTGGGGCTCTAAGTCCAAGGTAGCATGTCTACGTTAAGGGAGCCTGCCTCAGATTAACTTCAAGGCTTCCCCATAGTGTGGACATGCTAGTTCAAATGTGTTAAATCGGGAGTTAAGTTGAATTTAGTAATTTGGAAATAGCTTCTTACTGTAGACATGGCCTGAAGGTCTGATTCTCAGATTTGGTGACTATTCATAGAGTGTAGACATGATCAATAAAGCACAGTTATGTGGCTCTGCTGTCAAGTCTCTGGAATACCAGGCCTCCAGCAGCATTCCTATCCCAGTTCCCAATGAGAACTGCACCACAGCCATAGCATTTCTTTTAAAGGAACAGGAGCTGCATTTGGAGTCCTATTTACCCCTAAGATCAGCCCTCAGAGTAATATGTGATGGGGTCTACAGGCTCCACTCTGAACCAGGGCAGGGAGTACAGCAATACTGGCCTGCCCTTTAAGAGGTGCAAAGCATGGTCTCAGTGGAGGAACAATTGAATGAACTACATAAAGCATTGAGAGTGAGGAGAGTCTGCTAAACCAGTGACCATGTTTCAAACTGAGGAGGTCCAGACTGCTACGAAGTGACCTGGGGTTATGTCATGTGGGGTAATTCAGTAACTAAGGGCACATCTATGCTATAGTGTTATTTCGGAATAACTCGTGTTATTTTTAAATAACAAGGTGAATATCCACACAGCAAGCCCATTATTTAAAAACAACAGGCTTCTTATTCCAGAATAATAAAACCTCATTTCATGAGGAATAATGCCTATTGCAAAATAGTTATTTTGAAATCGCGGGAGGGTGGATGGTCCACTGCTGCTATTTCGAAATAGGTCCTCCCCAGGGCCATTCAAAGTAATTACTCCCCAGTGCTTCCTACTACTCTAAATCAAGGCAGTGTGTCCACATTACGGAAGACTTTCTTGGACTAATTTTTAGGCTTCCTAGTAGTGTGGACAGGCTATTCTGAAATGGTTATTTTGGGAGTTATTATTCCAAAATAATTTATTTTGAAATAGGTTGTCTACGCTACAAGAGTAAGTTGGACACTTTGAGAGAAACCCTACTGCTCTGGGTTGGACCTGGTGGAGTGGGTAGGACCAAGTCCCCCAATCTCGCTCCCTTCCCTTTTTGTTTCTAGTGACAACATGTGGGGGGAGCAACTGAAGCATAAGGAGGTGACTGAGGCTACTGACAGGAAGACTAGATCAATAAACCGTAAGACCATGATCTGACCACTAGGTCCTCTGGTCACCAGACCTTCTTGCTACACAGTGGGTTAAAGAACTCTCTACTGTTCTCTGGCTGAGATTTGGATTTGAGTTCTAGTCTCCATAAAAGAACATTATGCATCCCCCAAAAGGGAATGAATCTTACCTATAAAAACATTCTCCTACGTGGCTATTGGATGTCACTTGATCCCTTCAAAAATTAGTAATGGTGACATCCTGTCTCTCTGGTTGTGCATGGTGCCATGCAACCCTTACTTCTGCTCTGTTGCTGAGGGCAGTATGGCCTTCAGAGTTGGGTGCCAGGGAAGCAGCCACTGCTTTCCACTCTGCCTTCAGAGCTGGGTGGCTGGAGAGCGGTGGATGCAGGCTAGGCATCCAGCTTTGAAGGTAGCACTGCTGCCAGCAGCAGCTCAAAAATAAGGGTGGAGTGGTATACCCGGAGAAGATCTGGAGTCTTCTGAAACTTACTATATTAGTGCCTCAGACAAAACATGAGCCAGGACAAAGGTAAACCTGACGAATGACAAGGCAGTATGATAATCTTAAAGAAGATAAAACTTGTATTGGAACTACAGATTGTGGTTATGTCTAGACTGCAGGCTTCATTCGGAAGAAGCTTTTCTGGAAGAGATCTTCCAAAAAACTTCTTCCAAAAGAGAGCATCCACACTGCCAAAGCGCATCAAAAAAGCAATCTGCTTTTTCAAAAGGTAGTGTCCATTCAATGTGGATGTTATCTCACATTTAAACTCTGATTGCTATGGATGGAGTGGCCACCAGGGCACCTGTGCTTTTTCCTTTTTCCTCGTCTTTCAAAAGAACTCCCTCTTCCCTGTCCACACGTGCCTTTTTCTGAAAGAACTCTTTTGGAAAGTCTTCTTCCTCATAGAAAGAGGTTTACCAATGCCAGAAAAATCCCTCTTTTTTTCGATTTTTCTTGCAGAAGAATGAGATTGCAGTGTGCACATTATTGAATTTTTTTTTTGGAAAAACACTCAATGCTCTATAAGATTTGATATTAAACTAGATATTCTCCTTAAACCAGGACTCTCTGGTGTGGCAACGTCCACGGTCCGACACGACCTTAAGTGTTGCTGGGCCAGAGACCCCCAATGGCTGGGAGTCATGCAGCAGGAGAGCTGGCACCTGGGAGCACTGCTGGGCTGGGAGCCTGGCAGAGCTGGCAGCAACCTTGCAGCAGAGCTGGGGACACACTAACCCAGCAAGGGAGTTGGGGCTGCAGCTGCCCAGTAGGTAGGCTGGGGCCATGGCAGCCCAGCAGCCAGCCAAGCCAGGAACAGCCCAGCAGTGGGCTGGGGAACTGCCCTAGTCTGGCAAATTCCCTTGTTTGGAATAGGGATGAAAGCAACTAGTCGACTGTATGATAAGTATACTTATCAGATAGTCAACTCAACTAGTCGCTTCCCACCCACCCCTTGCTGCCTCTATCAGAGAGAGGCATTTAAATCAACTATACACTTAGCCAGATAATCACATTTTAACATCCTTAGTTCGGAACCAGTCAGGTCCCAAGGGTACCAGACCAGGTAATTCTAATCCGTAGTGATTTTTTTGTTTTGTTTTGTTTTGTTTTGTTTTTGGACCTGCTCCAGAACACAGGGTGAGCTAATCAGAAATGGCTTAGTGTCCTTTATTTGCAAATCCCATTTTAGAAGTTCCTAACTTTTGTTCCAATTTTTATGCTGCCTCCTGTAATAGCACTGACTCCTGTCTTTCTAAAACCATCATTGATTTTAGAAATAGAAAATAAATATTTGATAGAATTTTAAACAACTTAATAGATCTATTAGTTTAACAGTCTTAAACAAAACTAGAATCAAATGAATATGCAATACTTAAAAAACAATTAATAACATTTTAATTATCACTGATATTGCCAACTAACATGCCAGACGATGTTGTAAAGACCAGGACTTTAACAGGGTTCGAAAAAGAAGTAGATAAATTAATGGAGGATAGGTTCATCAATAGCTTTTAGCTAGGATGGGTACAAATGGTGCCTGTAGTCTGTCAGAAGCTGGATTGGGTTCAGCTTGATTACCTGTTCTGTTCATTTCCTCTGGTGCATCTGGCATTGGCCACTGTTGGAAGACAGGATCCTGGGCTAGATGGACCTTTGGTCTGACAGGCTATGTCTACACTGCATTCCTCTTTCAAGAGAGGAATGCAAATGCAGCTGAGCGAAATTGCAAACAAAGCAAGGATTTGAAATTCCCATGCTTCATTTGTATAATTGCATCAGGCCACTATTTCGCAAAACCATATTTCAAGATAAAAAACACTATGTAGATGCGGTTATTTTGAACGAAACCCCTTCTTTCGAAATAACCATTATTTCGTATGTAGATTTAATGGTTATTTCGAAAGAAGGGGTTTCGTTCAAAATAACCGCGTCTACATAGTGTTTTTTATCAGGTATTGCGAAATAGCGGCTGGACGTGATGATGCAAATGAAGCACGGGAAATTCAGATCCGTGCTTCATTTGCAATTTTGCTTGACTGCATTTGCATTCCTCTCTCGAAAGAGGAATGCAGTGAAGACATACTCACACAGTATTGCTGTTTTTATGTTAATACGTTGATACATTATTGAACAGATACAAATATCATAAAGGACTTTTGAAAACCTCTTTTGATGTAAATGCAAAATAATTTATTCCCAATATTTTTTCTATGTTTTGGTTTTGTTACTGCCAGCTTTCTGTAATTGCAGAGCTCCACATTAATTAAAGTTGTATTAGGCAGTAATTTAGCCTTGTCAAGAATATTACCTGTTATTGAACATATTTTATTGTGAGTGATTATCTGGTAGATGAAATAGTATAAAAGCAGAGGTATATTATAGAAAGATCAGGCATAACAAAGACCATTCAGTCCCACCTTTGTATAGTCACCAGCAAGGAATGCCTGTTCAAACCCACTGTACATCGTCAGAGGGATTAGGAAACACTGTCGCTTATCTTTAAGATGCCGAAAAGTTGCAAGGAATGTGGACCAAAAGGACTGTGCCTGCATCTTTTCTGTCTCACTCTCTTTTTGGCTGTCTTTGATTTGATCCAGAAATATAACAATCAGCAGCACAGCTAGCACACCACTACCTGCAAGAACAAAACAAATGAATGAAAAACAGGAGGGAAGCCAAGAAAATGACAAGACAGTTTATTTATTATTTATTCAGATTTAATGCTTAGTTCTGGGTCACATGTTTTGGTGACCTAAAGACTGGTTTAAACAAGAGCCTGCAGGTCATTACTGTATAATTAAAGATGCCTGGTCTGAGTTCAAGACCGCAATATGCTGCTGTGCACCTCTCAGCATTCCCTCAGTTTAGGTGTGAGATACATGTTATGACAGCCACAAAGTCAGCTGCACTATTACATCAGAACAATCTCTCTTCCAAGTCACATCAAGGGGTCTTAGGGAGGCTAGCATGAAAGAGTTCTCTTTGCATCTATCAACAGTTCCTAGCTCACCAAGAGACCAGTGCCAAGATATTCATGGTTAGTAACAGTTATCCCAATAATATTTGGCAGCAGATGGGAATAACAGACTACAGGTAGAATTTTAACTTTTATTTTCCTGGCTCCCACTACAGATTTCTTTTGTCATCTCAACCAATGCTGGTAGCCAACTTGCTGGTAGCCACTGTGTATAATTTCATAGCTCAACAGTGTGCCTTTATACCTAATATAAAAACTACAGATAACAGAGCATGTTGATAGCACAGATGATCATATACATCTAGAATCAAATTCTCCTGCCACTGTAATTGTATTCCAATAAAGTAAATTAGAACACAATTTTGCCCCATGATATCTGAAGTTGCAAAAGATAATAATCCCCTTAGTTAAAAACTCAGGGCCTCATCTTTTTGCCACACTGGTGTAAATTGGGCATCATTCAATTAAAATAAATGGAGTTATAAATTGAGAGGAGATTCAGGAGGAAGCATGTTTTACATACTGCACATTCACGCTTCACTGTAACACTATAGTTGTACGTGTGCATCTGCCTAGTCGTTAATTCAGAAAGCCACATGCTTTGTGCTTCCAAATGCCGTGGCAGTCTTACAGTAAATTGCACAAAACCACTACATTCACTTCTTAGATATGTCCCCTTAAGACAGTGTTATATTGATGTTCTCAAGCAACTAAAGGTGCTCTGTTACTTCTGGAGTGATTGAGTTATTTTTAATTCTGTTAGACTATGTCTACACTGCAGGCTTCTTGCAGAGCGTCTATGCTGCACGTGCGTTCTTGCACAAGTAAATTTACAGTAAAGCATTGGAACAGAGGGCTTCTTGCGCAAGAGTTATTCCTCCCCTGAGGAATAAGACCTCTTGTGCAAGGGCTCTTGCGCAAGAAGGCAGTGTGGATGGGCAAGAAACCCCTATGGCTAAAATGGCCATCAGAGCTTTCTTACGCAAGAGTGTCCACGCTGCCATGGATGCTCTTGCACAAAAGCACATGTGGATGCGCTCTTGCATGAGACCTTTTGTGCAAGAATTCTTGCACAAAACAGTTCTTGTGCAAGAAGCCTGCAGTGTAGAAGTAGCCTCAGGATCTAGAGCAGTGGTCCCCAACGCGGTGCCCGCAGGCACTATGGTGCCCGCCGGACCATTTCTGTGTGCCCGCCGAGTGATCGGGGCCAGCCCCGCCCCTGGATGTGCAGTGCATGAGCGGC